GAGGTATGATCGTGTTTAGGTGGCAAAAATTTTCCCCGTCCACTGTATAATAACAAAAATTGTTTACAATGTCGATGTAGGATTTGTGCGAGAGGGTTACTGGCCGCGTGGAACTGCGTGGTAAAATCCGGCCTGTGAGCGCGTGACAGGCTTAATGGACTTCATTCCCCTTTCCCAGTGTTTTCCTCGGTCTCGGTGTTCCAGGTAACAAAACAGGGGGGCGGCCAAACACACAAAAGCAGCAATCCGGGGAGACACGTGCTCAGCCCTTGGCACATGGGACAGGTGCCTGAGGAGCCACGGGTTGGAGGCAAAGGGCAGCGGAGACCAGCGGGGGGGCAACGTGGCAAGAATTACGACCCTTCCCGTAATATCCTCATCCACGTTATTGATGCTCAAGTTAGGGCAGCTCGGTGTGGCTGTCCCAACATAGCTTCACATTCATAGCGCTCCTCGTGCCCTTCACGGTGGGTTTTTTCTCGCTCCTTGCTCTTAGTAAAACGCAAAGTGTAAACAAATAACTTGATTTGAAGCTTTCGTGACTGCAGGAATCCATACTCTTTGGTTCTTTCGGTAAAGTCACGTAGGTAGAAAAAAAAATGTATCACGACGTTTCGATCGCAACACAAGCAGTCGTCCTCAGGCGGATATTTTTTTCCGCCTGAGGTCGAAACGTCGTGATATATTATTTTTGGTTTTATTTTTCTACCTACGTGACTTTACCGAAAGAACCAAAGAGTATGTAAAGAAAAGTGAATATAGAAAATACAACGGGTGTGGAGGAGCCGCGGTGGTGCAGTAGTAGGCGCACAGTGCTGTATATCCACAAACCTGAGTTAGATTCCAGGCCGTAGCTGATATCCGTGGTGGGTCCTCCCACCCTTCATGAACCCACAACCCCCATGATCCTTGCAGCACAGGGAGGCCTTCATCCAGCATTGGATAGACGAAAGATTCTATATTATTATCGTGCATTGAAATGTGCAATGTAAGGGTAATCACATATGTGCATTCCTTACAATATTGCAAGTAAAAATTGCATCCTGACAGATTTATACGTGAAATTAAATTATCAAAATAACCATTTAGAGCCCTTTGTCAAACCACTGCTGGATGAAGGCCTCCCCACACTTTGTGGGTCATGGAGGTTGTTTTAACCATACTTCACCCACGCTGGTCAGATGTGGAAAATGAAATCTCACAAATGGTTAATTTGATGCTCCAGCGCTCCAGAGTGAAGAGGCAGTGTCCCATTCGGGTGATCGAAACTGTTATCACGATTCAGTGGCTCCCTTAAAATATTCACCATTGGGTGCGGTAACCAATGTTAAAGACGCATGCCTGCCTGCCTGCCTGGTTTGTCTTTCTGAGCCCTTGTGTTCGAGTATGTTTTGTATATGGATTTCATTTATTGGCGATTTTAATTCGAAGCGTGGAAAATACATCGGAACGTTTAATTACTTGCGTGTCTATTATTTATTTGTTTTTTACTAAAGGACCGCACATGGCAGTAAAACTGGGAGCTGTTAAGTGATCCCAGCAGTGACTGGGCAGCAAAAGGCGGTGTTGGTGCTTTTCCTGCCATCGATCGTAGCCTCCATTAAACTTGTCATTTTCATTGGTAAACAACGCCTCTGCCATCGATACAAAGCGACGAGACATTGGCTCCGTGATCTCGTGTCGCGTGGTTCCCTTCGACACGGGACGCTCTTTTCACTCGCACAATGGCCGGCCGTGGCGTGGGCGGTTTCCGACAATAAATATGGCCCCCGTCACCATGCCACGGCCGCCATCAATGGTGCCTGTTTAGCGGCATCCAGCAAGTTTACTCTCTCCTCTCTGTGTTTACGTGAAGTGATTTACGTGATAAATAAACTACCCCCCCCCGCCCGCCCGCCCGCCCCCTCAACGTTTGCCCACCTGCTTTAAATAGATATTTTACTTGCCCAACTCTTAATTAATGTAAACGATAGTGAGCAGTAAAATGTCTACTTTAAAGTTGACACTGTTTTCATTGGTAGGAGATCGCAGTGCATGGGGCCCACGTTTGAACGAGGCCGCTCGCTGTTGCTGTGGGAGGGCCTGTGCCCATGGGGGGCCTGTTGGGACATGCCCCCCCCCCCCCCGCTGGGATATGATGTCCCTTCACCCGAAGAGTCTCCCACGGTTACCGTCCTTCCTCAATGTGCACATCCCCGCCACCGTATTCCTGCGCCCTCATATCAGCTGGCCATGTCTGTCTGTGGGCTTATCCTGGCGTGTCGAATCTGCAGACCAGCCTGGCCTCTCAGGTTTAAAGAAATTGGCTTCATACTATTAAATGTTAAGGAATCACCGGATCTCTACTGACTTTGGATTAAATTGGGACCCCTGGGAAAGTGAGGCATTATAGATGGTCTTTTAGCCACCCACAGGCTTTCTTAAGAGCAAGGAGCTGCCGAGGTGTGTGGTGAGGCTGCTTGTGAGCGGTGAGCTTCATTGGTGTTGGGGTGACGGTACACATTTTTTGTTACGAATAAGTGATTAAATAATGTTGAACATTTGCAAACTGAGTGCATTTCGAGTATTTTTCCTCAGTTGTAACGTCTTGATATTTATTCACTCGTAGGGAATATCCAATGGGTAGCTGTAGGTCAATTTTTAAAGCGAGAATTATTGTTGAAAATGAATCCTCGTCTGTTATCGACAGGGCACTGTCTTCTCTGATAATATTTTACCATGTGTCAAGAGGTGGGTGTGGATATGCACACGTTGCATGTGCTAATGCACCGATCCTCCCAATGCATCCGTTAATGTTTTTTCATCCCCATTATTCTCGCACCCAAATATAATTAGTGATGCACCACTGGACCATAGTAATGACCTCAGAGATAATTTAGGCCATCCTCAGCCCTGCAAGGATGACTTCACGGCATTGTGCCTGGAGTCGGAGAATGTCCATAGCTCGGTGTCGCTGTGGTGGGGTGTGCGCACAGATATTTGTTACAATGCAATTACAACGTGGATTTATATAGCACAGTCTAAATGTGACTGCGTCTCAAGACACTGTGCAGAAACAGCTGGCGCATTTATTTTGAGACACAGTCCTCTCCCCATGGTGTCATGTGGTCGTCCGCTTTGTTGCATTCTTGCCGGAGCTAAAAACATGCAAACGATACGGGCAAAGTCTTCTGCCAACCCCGCTCATTGTCGTTATCGCATTCCGAACTGCAGACGCGTGAAATGGATGCGTTTCCGAATGTGCATGATTAACGCTGTGCATTTGAATGAGAGAGATAGAGTTGGTGGGTACCGGGGTGGGGGGGCATCTCTGTACGTGGGGGGCGAGGATCAGCCGAGTAGAACTGAGCTCGCCTGGGCGTGAGCACGCAATGTGTGGCCCCCTTTTGTCATTGCCACACCGAGTGTCCTCACGGTGGCACCCACGGGGTCCTGTGTCACCTGTATTTACACAGACGGCCGCCGTCGTGTTTACAGACAGGACAACACAAACAAGGGGGCCAAGAGGGGGGTTTTTGGAGCAGCCGGAGGGAGGGCGGCAGATTGGGAAATGAGCAAACAGCCCAGTAATTATTCTCACGCGGACGCACCGACTTTCACAGCTGCTGGTTTCACTGATGGCTCTTTCATCTTAAGAGACGAACGAAAACAACGCAAAACCACTTGCCAGGCGGATCTGTGCCCCGCGTGCATTTTCTGCCTTGGTTTTGTGTTAGCTGACAATCGTGGTCACATTTACTAATGTCGCAATCTCCGCTCATCAGTGAATGTCTGCGTGTTACAAGAGGGACACACAGAGCATTCCTCAGGTGACAATATGGAGAAACGAGGAAGAGGCAGTTAAGAGTTTTAAGAATGTTTTGTCTTTGTCCAGAATTAAAGAGCTGATCTCCTTGGTATATGTTGTCACCATTGTGTGAACATGGTGGTTGGATTCAAAACGGAGCCAGCAAAACATACATTTTCGCACAACTGAGTAATATAAAATAGTAATGTGTAAGCAGACCAATTCCATGTTTTAATCTTCCATCAATGCATATGATGGAAACTGAGCTGAAAATGAAGAAAAATGTTTTCTTTAAAAATAGTATACAATGGTCAATTCCTAATTAAAGCTTTAACAAAAAATGAAAAATGCGTTGTCCACGCGCTCGGCCACGCTCATGGATAAGAATGTGGGTCAAAGATGACACATGGGGCAGTTTAAACATTTTCCAAATTTGCTTGCATAATTGGAATTAAATTGAGCCATTAAGAATTTCCAGGGCATTTTATTTGGATGTTACTGGCTGTGGGCTGCTATGCATGAAATGTAAAACCTGAAACAGATGTTGGTGGCACTCCACTGCACTACAAAATCACCTGCCTATTGCTGAGAGCGGATGATGTTGGTTATTTCAGTTACGTTATAAGTTCACAGGAAATGTGACCGCAACTTGGGCGCCATAAGAGAATGCCAATTAAAGAAGTCGCATATAACACAGATCCAGTAACATTATCCTGTAATAGACTGTCTTGGGTATCGGGTAACATAATAAAAAATGCAACTGTGGGTGTTGGGTTTTGCTCGCGAGGTTGCGGTGACGCACAGCTGCCTGGCCACGCAAACTGTTCTCACCCAGACTCGAGGGTGTCGGGCTCGGCCACGGCAGGAGGCCAGGCGTTCCAGCGCATCTCCAGCAGCTTGAAGTGCGGCGGCCCATCACGCCAGGCCATCGAGTGCAACCAGCAAGCACCGGCTGGGGAGTGTTGATCAAGCCGAGTGACCGGCTGATCTGTGGAGTTTCTAATCTGCAGAGGCTCACGCCTGCCGTTCTTTAAAGAGATGGCCCCGGTCCCGGGAACAACACTCAAACGGCGCTTTGTTCTCCCCCCCCTCTCTCTCTCCCCGCGCTGTGGCTGCTGTGCCACTGCTGGGCCCTGTCGGGAAGAGGAGCCGAACGGGCCTTCTCGGCGGGGTCCGCCCTGCGCCATGGATTCCGCGCGATCTCGTGTTATTTACCGTTTGAAGTGCTTAATTTGCAGGACTGTGTGCGCCGCAGGAGTCTTCAGAAGTCCGTTTTTGCTTGATCCGAAAAACTTAGTTTAAGCCTGTAATGGATTGGGGTGTAATTGACTAATTAAAAATGTTCTCAAGTTAAATGAACAATATCTTTCAAAAAACACACACACGTGCATACAAATGCACACACACAATTTGTACAATTGATACAATTATAGATCCGTTGATATTAAGTAAATATACAAATAAAGTTATAAAAATGAAAAAAAAATCTGGAGTACAATAAAATAGAGGATTTCACTTTTGAATTTTGGGTTCCAATCACTGGAGCAAGCTGCGCCCAATTTATTTCTAGCCATAGGGTGTGGCTGAGGTGTGACTGGCAAATTGGTTTGTAAGTTGAAGCGTCGTGGATGCTGTGGATTACAGTTTATGATCATCTCAATGTGTGGCTGCATTTGCCACCCGCTGTGAAATATATTGCTTGACTCCTAGAGGTCAAGAAGGAGTGAGAAGAGGAAGGGAGGGGCCTGGTGATTAGCCCGAAGTGTTACAACCACTGCTCATCTAAATCTGCCAAAGCTCAAATTAAATTCATGAATATTTAGCTCCTACTCTTGTTGGGGAAATAACAAAATTAGGCCAAAGCCTGTGTCAGGGATTAGCAGTCATATGTTGGATAAACATGTGTACTTGTTTGCAGAGCTAAATGTAATAAAAAATGCTTGTGAAGTCTTAACCTTTTTAAAATAAAATGTAATTCGCCGATTTAGTTTTTTGTTATTTTTGTACTGACCAGTGAAATTTTCAACATGCACTGAGCCACGTCTCCCGTAAGTGCCAAACGTTACTGCATCCTTTGTCGTGCCCTTCACTGGACTGCTGGTAAACGTATCCAAATGAACACGAGTGTCTATACAGTGCATCGCACATCAATAAAGGCGTGTCGGAGTAATTTACATGAAGTAAAAATGAACACTCTTTGGTCAAAAAGTAGAAAATAAGAAATACAAGATATGTTTAGAGCGCGAATAAATGTTGGAGACACGGGACAATTGTTGTGACTCGTTACTCGCATTCGGTGCACCCGAGTGCAAAAGCTTCTTCTACAGAAGCCCTTAAGTGTGGCACATCTCCTGCGAGCTTTCCATCTGCAGACACTCCATCCGTCGCTGCGAGTGGCAATTACGCGGGGAGAACTCTGTTGACCCGCTTGTACAAGGAGGCTGGTGCTGTCGCCCGTCTGACCGAGATCTGATTGATAAACTTTAGACCACCAGCTCGCAATGTTTGCTGGGTTTTTTTTGGGTATGCCCCCCCACCCCACATTTTCTGAGCAGGGATAACAACCGATTATCAGAATGTACGCACCAAAATGCCCATTGTTTGTTCATGTGTGTGTCTGGCTTTGTCAGTAAGGGGGGGGGAGGTTGATGGTTGAAGCTGGAGAGCCACCTCCCTGTGAGCCCATTAATGAGCCAATAATGAGGATGTTTAAAAGTCAGAAATGTTAAGCACACGTTCCCTAAGGTCACCCCGAAGAAATGCCACGTTCAATAAATGCTTCTCCCCAGCTTTGTTTTTTTTGTGTCTGCGTTCGTAAATAAGGTAGGTGGCATTTAATTCCAGATTATATATTCATTATGAAACCCGAGCACATCGAGATAAATCATGACTTATTCATGCATGTGTGCTGGAACACCTGAGCTTGGTCTGACATTAACAGGAGCCCGATTTTGAGGCTTAAAATTTTCTTAAGAACATGAATATGAATCTATTAAAATGCGAGTCTTTATATGAGTCTGCACACGTATACTATAGATATGCTGGATAGTTACCGTGCTGCATGATAAGCACATGGTAATTATTGTCTTTTTAATAATTTCCATAATCATACCTTCCTTCAAACAAATGCAATACATTTTATTTAACTTTTATTTGGCTAAGTAAAGTACATTATAAAGCAGTTGTACCTTGCATATATTCAGACTTTAACGTACACATAATACATTGTATAAATGACAACTCGTATTTAATGAACACCTACATGAACGGCTATTTTATATGCACATCACAGCAATTGAATTTAATCTGTGAACAAATGTAGCAAACTCATGCGAATTTACGATTACCCTAATAATCCCCAGCCCGACGCATCATTAGCCACCCAATTTGAATTACTGATCAGCATGTTCCAGGAGTGAGAATTACGGCTTTTGTGACCGTCTGTCGACGAGGTGTGGGCAGCGCTCACGGGCGGAACTGTGTCCGCACGAAGGGGGGGGGGGGCAGTTCCTGGCTAATGGAGTGATCACGCCCGGGGCGGTCGCGTCTTCTCCACTGAGTGTTGATTACACCAAAGATGTTAACCCCTTGCTCTTCCGTGGAATTTACCGTTACGGGATTTAATTTTGTTTTAATAGGCTGTTTATTTGCCTGCTTGCAATGTATTTTCCGCCTACGTATTTCTTTTAACAGCTAAAATAGAAGAGTTGATGCGATCGGTGTCTGGGTGAACACATTCCATAGAGACATTCTTGACGTTTAAGACAAACATGTACACTTTAGCCTAATTTTATCCCAATTGCGCTATCGGTGGCATGCCGTGCGTAGAAGAATCCATTCGGATCTCTTGCAGAGCAGTGCAGCCATTCGTGACGGAGAGCGACCCACAGAAGCGGACACCTTCGAGATTTGTAGAAATAATTCTCAAGAATGCTATTTCGTTTTTATTGATGCACGAAAGCCTCACTGGATCTTAAGACTTTTTCAGGAATGTCTTGCCGTGGAATGTTTGTCAAAATTCCATTTGTGAGCATTTGGCATCGGCCTGTTCTTTTGTTCCTCTAACACAGCCAATATGGTTTGTACCTGAGTATATGCTAGCCATGATGAGCAATAGTGTCTTTGTACTTCATAATTTGGGCTGAATGCTGTAAAAAAAAAACCCCATCAGACTTGATTAGGCAACAAGTTTCCCTTCATTTCCTCTTTGGGTTGTTTATTTAAAGCGGTCACTGCGGCGGGCGCTATTATTGTGGAGAAAGCTCGTAAATAAAAGGGGGTCCCCGCGTTGTTCCTTCCGCGCGCGGCGTCTCTCGCGACGCGGCACGCGCGCATTGTCCGGGCCATTCGAGGGGCGCCGCTCACGCGATGCTCTCGGCCGCTCTCGTGCGCGAACCTTGCGTTGGAGTTCACGCGACGGCTGACCCCTCCGAAGCCCCCCCACTCCCCCCCCCCCGTGTTGCCACGGCCAGCCTCCTCGTGACCCCCCCCACCACCACTACCACCACTCCCCGTCCCCAAAAAGCGTCGCCACTGCTTTTTTTCCACCCTCAGCCGCCGTCTGAGCAGAGTGGAGGAGGCAGTGTTTGCGTGGGGGGTGGGGGAGAAAAAAAAGCCATTCTTTACTTGTGCTAATTTATGATAAAATGCGGTTGGCTGTCTGAATAGATTGAGCTTATTCTTTTTTCCATTAAAAGAAGGCGGGAGGGGATGTTGAATGGGCGAGAGGGGAGGTGGGGCGGCGGGGGGGTGTTGGCGATTCGTTGGTGTCGCTTTTTGTTTCTGATGGTAATTTTTTTTTCTTCAGCCAGCCACAGCTGGGATGTTGGGAAAGGTCAACAGAAGGTCGGGGCGGGGAGAGGGAAAAATGCAGGAGGAGAGAGGGAGAGGGACGCTGGGTATGGCCTGATAAGGAGTTCCCTCAGGAGCCCATGCTGTGCGAAACTGGCTTTATACATCATCCCTCTTCATCCAGTGACCTCTTCCTGCCCTCTCGGCTAGCCAAACTTCCCAATGGGCAAGGCCTCCAGCTGATTTTGAGAGTGCTCCCCCCCCGCCCCCCCTAACAATCCCAACCCACACGGGACTGCAGATGAGTGAGTGGGTGATGAGAAATAAATGAATCGCGTCGGGTTTATCTGGGGCCAGCCGTTCAGCCACCCATCGGGCACTCCTTGTCAAATGATTTCTGAACGATACATCATTTGTGTCACTTCCCCTTTGAAGCCTGCGACGGGCACGGTGTCGTCTGCTGGCTGGAGGATCGAAAGCTGCCCGACGCTGCTCGGAGCAGCAGCCAGCGTCTGTTCTTGCCCATTTGTCATCCACGGTTGTATTTTCTTCTTAACGAGGGCACTTAGTATAATTGTGTCTGTGCTGAGTTTTAAAAATTAGTTTTGTCGTAATTTGGCAGCCCTGCTGCGGAGGGGTGGTGGCATGAGGTTGGGTTCCCTTTACGGCTGTCTTGCTGAGCATGCATGGGGGCCTTTGGCGAGCGTTGTGGCAAAGCGCAAATGTAAACGACTGCTTTTGCGTTGACTCAACTATACTTTCTGGCATTGTACGACCCTTTACACGTTATGCTTAAGCCGTAGAGGTTTCTTACGGAGACGTGAATTGTTAAATAACCTTCTCCGAGGACACTTAGTGGCAAATTACAAACTTGAATAAAGTTTGTACGTAGCCAGACGATTAGCACAGTCGGCTCCGTACGGTTTGAAGGAAGCTCTACTTGTGAACGTACAAGTGCAGTCGAATGATTATTTGGATTTATATTGCAACTCAAAAAAAGTATCTTTTAACGTCGTAACAGAAAATGGACGCAATGTAGGTTGTCGATGCTAATGCAGGAGGATGTGCAAATGAACGCCTTGCAGCATGAATACCTGAGTTGGAATCCTACTTTGAGCCACTCGCTACGCCTCGCTGTCGAGTTACCATAAACCTGTTGAGCCAAATTCAAGGGCATTGTATCAGGAGATATTTGTTGAGCCCTCAATTGGGAGCACTGATGATGCTCCACAGAGACAGACATTACACCTAACACAATCTGTATACCTCTGTTCATTTACGCATGTACAAAGTGTCTCGCGTACACTGTTTGTCGTGAACACCATAACCGCATTAAACTTCACCCACCTTGTGATACCATCCGTGTAAATCAGAAGTTGAAGTTTTCGGGTATTGCCAAGAGCTTTCCTGCAGGAGCCCCTGCGCAGTCGTTAATAGCAGCATGTTTTTCTGAAGCGGTGTGGTTGTTTCTATTGCACTCATGAAATTATCATAAAACACGTGTTGCTCTCAC